TTGGGCCATTTCTAATTTCACTCTTCTGGATGACTGTAATTGCCCTTCTCTGGAAGATTCTCGTCTTAGTCTGTTCATCCTGCCTGCATAAGTCTCATATACTCCCATGACTTAAGTTGTTTGCATCTGCAGGATCATCAAATACAGACTTATTCGTTAAAATGTACATATTAGGTTTCTCCTGTGGGCACTAGGCACTAGAATACAGCACTTAGCAAAGCAGGCAAAATTTTCTGTTTTTCTGAACTTGCATTCCAGTCAGGAAGATAGAATTACAATGGGCAAAATAAAATATGTTAGACAGTAATATGTCTTAAAGAGAAACATTCAGACAGAAAGGGAAGTAGTGTCAGGATGGGATACAGAAATTTTTTACTGGTCCCACATCAGCCCTCAGTTCTGAGCTTCAGGTACATATATCAAAATGTCCAGTGCACCCTGCATGACTAGCTGGGAACTTAAACTCATTGTGACCCAAACTGAATGTACTATCCCTATCAACTATCTTCTACCACCACCACTGAGATGCTCAAACCAGAATGTATGAGTCATTCTTGAATCCTTCTTCTCCCTCATTCCTCATATCCCATGGATGACAAAGTTAGCCAGTTCTCCCACATAACTCTAGCCCCTTCTCTCCATCTTCACCATCACTATCCTAATTTGGACCAACATCACCTGTCACCTGGATTCTTGCAGTAAGAAATCCCCTATAGCCATTACCACCTTCCTCCAGTGTGATTAAAACTCATCTTGTCACTCCTCTACTTGAACAGGTCAGTGGAACCGAATTGCTCTTGCCCAGCTCCCCAGACACACCACTCTTGGAGCCACTCTTACCCTTGTCCCCTAGTCTATGTTCTTCCTTCATTCTTCATTTATGCCATCCTCTCTTGGCCCAGGATATTTTCACATACTGTTTCTTCTTCCTGGAATATTCTTCCCCCAACTCTTCATCAGGCTAACTTGTCTTTCAAATTTCAATTAAAACATCACTCTATCAGGCAAGTTTTACCCAAATCCTCAAACTGAGTTATTTGCATCAATTATGCATTCCATAATATCCTATCTTCCCCACTTCACAATACATGCTACATGTGTTATCACTTCTATACTGCTCTTTCCCACACTGGAACGTAAGCTCCAAGAGGATAAGGACCATGTCTGCCTTTTCAACACATCATCCCTAGTGCTCGTCAAATAATGTTTGACGTAGAGTAGGTGCCCAGTACATATTTACTGAACAAATGAATAAATATTATAGCAAAGACAAATAGCATATGATTAGTGATGGTTATTACTTGGCATTTGTATGCTTCATACTCAGACATGATTTTGAATCATCATCTCTTAAGAGTACTTACATATTGCCTTCTCATCGTACATCTGGGATCATGGAGGATGCTCTCCAGCAACTGACACATTTCCAGAATCCAGCAGTGCCTTCCCTTGCACATTGTTGTTCCAGATTTCACATTCCTAGGCAGCATTACCAGCCAAGTCTTCCAGAGAGATGTCCTACTGTTGATTCTGCTGTAAAATAGAGACCCACTTTAGGCATAAATTGATCTCAGAGTTTGTAACCAGTAGGACTACCTCTAATTATATTAGTTACTGTTATTATTAAGAAATAACAGTGAGATGGTACCACATAAAGAAAATAAATACGATTTTGTCTTCTGTCCTTTTGATTGCTGCTTGGGTCTTTAATACATTTTCTTCTTACCCTTATCTTAATTCCCCTGGAATATCTGCTTCTCTGTTCTCAGGCTAATCTATGCCTTCTCAGGATCATTGCACCAAACTGAAGTCCGCTCAGTCTTTATAGGCTAATGCTATTAAACCTTGTTTGCTTTCTTGCCCAGTCATTATTCCTTCCTTATTCACTAAAAATTGCCGATATTTATTAATCACATGGCAAATGCTACACATATGTTTACATCATTCTACAGCAAACAGAGAAGGCACTATATTTTAATTTTTAAAGAAGAGGAAGCTGAGATTTAGAGAAGTTAAGTGACCTGCCCAAGTCCCCAGAACACTAAGGATCTCAACTGGGATTTGAGCCCAAAGGTCTGCCTCCAGTTCCTTTGAAACTGTTGGCACTGTGCTGTTGTCTTACTTGCTGAGACGCAGGTTACTGTAGCTGTTCGGCCTCCTTTCCCTTAATTTTCCCTTTATGTTAGGTCTTCAATAAATACTGTTTAACTTTTCCCTGGGCTGTTATTATTATTATTATTAGTGGATGATGACTGATGGTATTCGTGGTTTCGTTCTGTTCACTGAATTCTGTTCTTTCAACCGAAATTGAACTGAGCTTAAATAAGAGGAGCTGGTAGTGCAGCAAGAGCAACGTGGATAACCCTGTCAGAAGGAAAACCCTATTTCAAGGTGTTTTCAAGAAGAAGAAGAGCTTTCTAGGGCTTCAGGAGTTGGTGTAGTCAAACTGTTTGGGAATCCTTTGGTATGTTAATACGTAATCTAAACTTTCCCCACCTTCAGTAGGGTGAGCCTATGTAAAAGATTACCATAGTTTTGTGAGTCCATAGAAAGAGGGAAATAGGCAGTTTTCCTGAGCCATAGGTCTGTATTTTGATTCCTGTAACTCTCAACCTAAGTAATTAGATAGGAGAGTTACAGATTTCCAATCTCTCCCTCTCTCTCTCTCTGTGTCTCTGTCTCTGTCTCTCTCTCGTGTTCGTATGTGTGTATCTTTGGACCGACTCCTAGGAGCTGGGAGACCGCCACACTCTAAATCTGTACGTCTGCACTGTTTAAGAGGCTGTTTTACCGTCTCAAATCCAGAAACTCCCCCTCCCGCTCGCCTTCTGTCCTCGGGGAGCTGTCAGATTCCCGCCTAGCAGCCCTCCCGCCTCCACACTGCCTCTGGAGTCAGTACCCGGCGGCCCCAGAATGACCCCTGACCTTGGCGGGGGAGGAGGGAGATTGCCAAGAGGTATAAATGGGTCAAGAGTGCCGAAGGGACCAGGACCTTGAGGAGTCCGGGTGCGACGTCGGGCGCCCCCTCCTCTCTGCAGACGGAGGGGGGGGCCAGCCTGGTGCGAGGCGCGCGCCCGCGTCTCTCGAGGCCTCCGGGGGCTCGGCGGCAGCAGGAGCTGCGCTGCAAGAGGAGTCCGCGGCCGGCAAGGTCGGGGCGAGTCAAGACCGTCTTGTCTAATGGTTAGGGTCGCTGGCTTTCGCGTCCAGTCTCGGTCTCACCTCTAGCCACCTGGGTGACCTTGGGCAATTTCCTTAGCTTTAGCGCGCCAGTTTCTAAATCCATAATGTGGGAAAAGCGAGGTGCTGGCTAAACCTGGGCTCGTAAGAATGAACTAATGAAGCACTCTTGGCACGTAGTAGGCGCTCGGTTACAGGTTAAGCTGAGGAGGAGGAGTTAGAAGTTCCGCTTTGGGGTCCGGAACGTAGGTTCCAGCTCTGACTTCTCCTGTATTCACCAAGGAGAGGGGGAGGGGGCAGCGGGAGCACCTGTCCTCCCCCCTCCCCTGCTCCTCTGTTGCCAGATAAACTCGGGAGAACCCGGAGAGTCCGTCCCGGGCCGGGGCACCCTCAGACTGCCCGGCTGCCGGAGACTAGCAACGACTCCGGGCGCCCGCGGCGCATCTCTTTGCCGCGAGCCGAGGAAAGATTTCTTCCGTGTATCTCCCTCCCTCTCGAACCCTGGAGCTCGCTCGCTGCTGCCTCTGGGTCCCGGCGGCCGCGGAGAGCCGGGTCGAGCCTCCGGCTGCAGGGAAGAGGCAACCCCGGGGCGTGCGAGTCCCTCCTGGCCCCGAGCTGGGGAGCGAGGAAGAGGTGGCGCGGAGCCCGCGGGAGGACGCGAAGGCCCCGAGCCCCTTCCTCATTTCGCCCGCCTTCCGGGGACCGCTCTGACTTTTTGCGTCCCAAGGCACCGCCACCCACCCTCCCCGGCCGGGGCCAAGGGCCGAGGGGCCGAGGGCCAGAGGAGCCGGGGACCGCAGCGCCGCGCGGCGGGATTGGGCAGCGAGCGCAGGCCGGCGAGGTGAGGAGGGGCGCGCGGCAGGCGGGGAGGGTGCCGCCAGTGTGCGCGCGCGAGTGCGCGTGCTCTGAGGGGGCGTGGGTGCCAGCCAGGCGAGTCCCACCCGGCCGCCAGCCCTTCCTGCACCCGGTCACCGCCGGAGCCTCTCGCCACCCGGCCTCCCTAGGCCCCCAGGTCCCATCAACCCTTCCTGCAAACTCCACCTCCCTACTAATAATTTCCCAATGCAGAATCAGACCGAAACCTTGAGAGACAGCGCTGTCTTTCTACTCCCCTCGCCCCCCCCCCCCCCCCCCCCCCGCCCTTCCTGCTATAAATAATCCGGACCAGCGGGTCAGGCACGTCACACGGTGAGAAACCGGGACCCCGAGGTTTTCTTCTCTGGGGATAGGGGGCAAAGAGTGAGGAGAAGGAGAAAGAAATTGCTCGTGAGTAGTGAAGAAAAGCTTGCTCTTTAACTCCTAGAAAAGACCAGGCATCATTTTATTGTCATTCTTTTTTTCCTTTTTTTTTCCATTTCCGTGTCTGTCTTATTCTCCATGCTACGTCCCCCCCTCCACTCCCGGCCCCAAATCCAACGCATTGCTCAACACTCCTCCCATCGGTTTCTTTCCTCCCTCCCCCTTTCACTCCCGCTCCCACCTTCCCCTTCCCTCCTCTTCCCTCCGCCACCCCCCGCCCCCACCTCCGCCTCCAGCACCCATTTCGCCCCAGGCAGGGAATGCTATTTGCCACGGAAATAAAGTTCAGATTTCTCTCCCCACCCCACCCCCGCTGCTTGCTGATACCAGAAGTGGACTCTCAGGCACCCATCTTCCCCCTAGCACTACACACCTGCTCTCCTTTAAATTCCTAATCTGGTTTTGCATATTTAAGAGGAAACACCCCCCCCCACACACACACACCCCAAAACCCCACAACCCGCGAGGTGCAAAACTGCCTCTTGCAAGTACCAAAACTTAACAGACTCTCTAGTTGTTTTTGTCTTAACAAAAGGACAACAAAGATTTTGCTCCGGGTCCTCCTGTGGGGTGACTTTTCTATATTATTCAAATACGCATATATTATACATATATATGTTTTTCCTTTTTTCCCCTTTGATTTTTTTTTTTTTCCTCCTTAACAAGAAAATCTTCTCGGTCCCAGGCAACCGCTGCTGCCCCTTTGATGTTTTGGTACGCCTTGCGCATGCGCCTCACATTAGAATTACTGCACTGGGCAGACTAAGTTGGATCTCCTGTCTCCAGTGAAACCCTCAATCCCGTCCAAAACTAAAGGGATGTGGAGAGTCCGGAAAAAGGGCTACTTTGGGATCTGGCCGTTCCCCTTAATAATCGCCGCTGTCTGTGCGCAGAGGTAAGTGTGTCTAGCGTTTCTGTTTCCTTTTTCACTTTGAAAGGCTCTGTCTGCCTACCTCTGTGAGCAAGGATCTGTAGTGAGGATCAGATAGATTCTGAAGCGCTGTGCCTGCTGTCTTATTGATGCCTGTTTATTGTCTTTTCTTTCTTTAGTGTCAATGACCCTAGTAATATGTCGCTGGTTAAAGAGACGGTGGACAGACTCCTGAAAGGCTATGATATTCGGCTGAGACCAGATTTTGGAGGTAATGGGGTTGCCTTGGAAATAAGAAACAGCCCAGCAGCTATAGCCTAAGCTGTCTTTTGAGCTTTGTGCGCTGTCTTCCCTCTCCCTCATTGTGGGTTGCATGTGGTGTACTGAACATGTCTCTGTGTTACAATATTGAGAAACTGATCCAAACTTAAGCTGGTTTGTTACTCTTAGATGGTCTTTCAGAGAGACCTTCTTAGCCTGTAGTGGTGACTGCTGTCCTTCAGCTTCACCGTTTAAATCCTTTGCTTCACTGTCTTTGTTTCCTTGAGATACAAACCTCTTAAGTTTAGTTAATGGTGTGCCCGGTGAACCTGGCTTACTGAAGGCCATCAGGAACATTTTTGGGGACAAGATATGCAGACAGTTGGTTGAGAAGTCGCATTAACCCCCTGTGCCCACCTACTTTGGAAGAGTTCTAGCCATGGTTTAAATTGGCTGGTGTCTGGATATTATCCAGTCCTGGAAACCTCACTGCAGGGGACAGTGGGGTGGGGGGAGAGGGGCCTGGGGGGATCGGAGGATAGGGAGGGTAGTGGAAGAAGGGCTAGAGACCTCTCTTGCTGCAGCCTTAGATACACTGATATGCCTATTTAATTTGACTCCAGACTCTAACAAAGCTCAAAGAGTTAAAACCTGCCCAGAAGCGGGGGGTGGGAAGAATGAGGAGGGGGTTTCAGTGCAATATATAACATTTCGCTTGGGCTAGCCAGATTCCGGTGCTTTTGTGGTTGTGTGTATTCTCATGCTAAGACACCTACCTATGTAGACAGACGTGGAATCCCTCATCCATCGGACACGTGTGTGCCTGTTCAGTAGAGCATTTCCCAGAGGAGTACCTGTCACTCTTTAAAAAGGAGCAGAGAATTGAAGAATTTGAGTGTGAGCAGTGGGAAGGGATTTGGGGCAGAGTGTCCCATGCCCGGGGACTACTCTTGCTAAGAATGCATGAAGTTCTGAGAAATCACGTGGCTGGCCATTTTGGTTTGCAGGTCCCCCTGTGGCTGTGGGAATGAACATTGACATCGCCAGCATCGATATGGTTTCTGAAGTCAATATGGTGAGTATTGAGGTTTATGGCTGTGTCTCTGCAAACCTTCATTTGGGGACAGGAAGGAGAAAGGATCCAACGGGTGAGGGTGGGGTGTGCATGAGTATGTGTAGGAAGTGGGGTGAGGGCAGGGCATTTTGCTTTGGAACCCACTGTCTTTGAGGCTTCAGAGCTGGCTCTTTCTGGTCCCTAAAGATTTTTCCAACCTGGTTTGAAATCGTGGGACTTGGCGAAGAGGGTGTAAAATGCATCACACGTTCATGTGCAAAACGCAGCCACGTGCAGGAGAACCCCTGCAGGAGTCACATTTCCTAAGGTTCAGTGGGAAACCCACTTCATCGAGTGATTTTTTCTGAGTTTGGTGTGGGGTCAGGGAAGGAAAGAAGAGGAGAGAAAAGGGAAGTGTTTTGATTTGACATTTCGCAGAGAATATAACCTGGGAACTAAACTAGTGGAGAGGCTGAATAAATGACCCTCGGATACTGATATCCACGTGTTGCTTTTGGAGCCGGCCTCTTTACAGTTGATGGCAAGTCCCGCCCCCTGCCCATGGCTCACCTGCTCCTTTAACCCCCAAAATAAATAAAATAAAAATTGGCCACCCTGCTTTCAAAAGGTAAGCTCAGACCTATGTGTCATCTCTGGTCACTTCTGCAGTGGTATTCACTGCATGTCCTAAGCCTGTGTGATTTATGGACAGCAGCACTCCTTAGTGGCCCCCTCCTTGGTCTTGGGGCAAGTGCTAAGAGAAAAAGCCTCCGTCTTCCCCTCCCGGGAACACTTGTGTGTATGGGGGTGGGGGGGGGGCGGAGGGGGGCGGGGCTGAGGGGAGGGTTGCTTCATGCAGGAGCGCCCCCTGCTGCCCATGTTGGGGCACTGCAGACGTACAAGACAATAAGTGTCCCAGATACCCCTGCTTACTTGCGCCATTTCTTCAGTGACTTTTCTACTCTGTGTTTTTGAAGTTTTCACCCTTGGAAAAGTCTCTCTAGAAAGGCCACATTTGAATGTAAGATGCCAGGGTTACTTTCAGTCCTAATAGGATACAGCACATTGCAGAAGATTGTATTGTAGTGTAGTTTTGCCTGGAAACAGGATGCACTGTTAAAGAAGAGGGTCTAGTGTGTAAGGTTTTATGCAAAACGGTTCTAAGCCAGCCATCAGGACTTGAAAGTTAGGACACTTATTAATTCACTCGAGAGCCAAATACTAGGTAGTGGATATGCTCTTAACATGATATAAATTTTCATCACCCCAGAATTCAAATATAGAGGAAGCTCAAATAACCAGCCCAACCTTATACAATGTCCAAAGATAGGTGATAATCCTGAGCTATCACAAGCTTATGAAACATCTGTGACTACTCCAGAGAACATTCAACTCTTTCAGTGATGTTTTTAAGGACGTGTATCTTGTTATATTCTAATTATTGGGAAAGCATTTTATGATATAGGATTTGAACACAGACTGAAGATGCTATTGGATGATTCAGAACCATAGATTTCCCACACATTGTGAGAATCTCCTGTGTGGGTAGAGAATATTTCTTTCTTGGGAAACTAAACATTTAACTTCTCAGATGTACAAATATTCACTTTTGTGAAATTTTAGAGGTCTTTCATCAGTTTATATTTTGAATTTTACCATGAAAATAGAAAATGTCCTCATGTGGGTACCTGCTAAGTCCTAGGTACTTGAATCTAAATTGTGTGGCTAAAAAGAAAGTGATATGAACATCAGGTGTAGTTCTGTGTGTCCTGTCTTTTGATTTCCTTATGCTCTTTTCCCACATTTTATTCTGTCACCTTCCTCTTCAGAGCATCAGAAAGGTGAGACTTTATGGAAAAATTAAGAAATATTTAGAATCTAAAGAGACAGTGATGAGATGATTAGAAGTTGCTGCATTAGAACTTAGATGTATAAGTTAGCTGAGAACTTAGACCTATTATATCCCAAAATGGCTTAAGAGTAGTGGCATTGTTTTCTTCTTCTTAAGTTTTGTTCATTTTTCACCAGCATGCAGCATTTTGGAGAGGTGTCAGAGCTGGACATGATGCCAAGACCTGCTAGTCAAAATATAGACCCAGTTAAGGCGAGGTGTCATCTCTTACAGCTATTTACTGTTGCAGAAAAGTCTCGGGATGTTGAAAGTGTAGAAACAAACGTCAGGTTGTAAATAAGCCAGTACTGCAGCATTAATGATTAGAACCAAGCATTATAAATTCCATGCTAGATTCCTTTCTTAGCCTACTGCTAACACACGTGGACTTGTCCAGACACAGTTTTACTTGTTGAAAAATTAACACTTTTATGATTAACAATCATAGTGACTTTAATCCTTCAAAGAAAAATTTTGTGATATGTACTATTTTTTAAAGTATGGTTATTTGATTTGAAGCAACAGATGGGAAATTCCATCCCTGATGTCTAAATAAAAGAAGATGTTTATGGCATATTGCCCACTGTATACAGGTCTAAAAGGGTTAGGATCTTTCGATTAGATTCAGCTCTGAAAGAATGGTTGATTGATTATTTAAGTGAAACCTCAAAATTGATTAATGCACATGTTTCTGCCTCATTATCCTTTGTGGCCTGCAACCTCTGGTACTTGTAGCTTTCTTTTATTATAGCAAATCTTCCTTTGAAGAATGGTAGGCACCAGACCATTTAGACTGTCATTGACTCATTTGTACTGAAAGGAAAAATGGCCCATGTCGATGTGGTGCTCCTGGTAAATGACAAAGATAGAAAGACCTGAATACTAGTTCTGCTTCTGCTGTTCAGTCAACTTGAGGGAATTGACAGCCCCATGGGGCTTGGTTTCTCTTTTTATTTATATATATATATATATATATATTTATTTATTTATTTGGCTGCACCTGGTCTTAGTGGTGGCACGCAGGATCTTTAGTTCTGGCATGTGAACTCTTAGTTGAGGCATGTGGGATCTAGTTCCCTGACCAGGGATCAAACCCGGGCCCCCTGCCTAGAGAGCATGGAGTTTTAGCCACTGGACCACCAGGGACGTCCTGGGGCTTGATCTCTTCACCTGCTAAAAGGGAATAATAGTCCCCATTTACATATTATAGGTGAGTACCAGAATTAATAAAATGATGCAAGTGAAAGTACTGGTGTCCCATGAACATAGCTTATATAGAAGACTGAATATCAGCCTGTCACTAAGGAGACCCAGTGTCCATTCCAGCCGCTGCCCTAAGTGTACTTGGGTCAGTGATTTACATTACGCGGTCTCAGTTTCCATATGTTTGAAATGAGAGGGACATGCCAAATTGACTTCTAACTCAAAGTTACATGTGTTTCTGCTTTGGTTTATTATAATAGCTCTGTTGGGTACAAAGAAGTTCCAGGAAACTTGGAAATCCAGCATAAACGTTAGAAAAATGCAGAATTCCTAAATGGCATGCAGTTCTGAGTTCTTAGGAGGGTGATGATGGTATCTTACTCACCCATGTGACTCAGGTGACTGTTGAGCCAGTGGAAGATCTCTGGAAGAACACAATCTCAATTAGAATGTTCCTGAGCAGAAAGCTTGGCTTTAGAATGAAACATTTTTAGATGTCTTGGTTAAATTGGCAGGACTCTTTTTGTTAAGATTCTTTGATGAAAATGCATTTTAAGTTCCAAAATTGGCTCTGAGGATTATGGACTGAAATAGCTTTCTCTTCATTTAAAGCAGATTCTTCTCCATCTTGGAACAACACATTTGCCAACCGAAGAGTGAAGCAATATTTCACTTTTGAGGAAAGCGTTCTAGTAAACATATACACAAATTACCTTTTTATGGAATGGCAAATGGTGAAAAGTGCTGCCTTTTTTTTTAAAAAACAGATGTTTTCTTGCATCACCAGCTGCACAGTTTAAAATTCAATTCGACACAAATACTTATTTAGCAGCTACTATGATCCAGCTATGTGTTAGGCCATAGGGACAGAGCAGCAAACAAGAATGACTTGTCCCCTGACCTCATGAAACTTAATATCTTGGTGTTTACTATCGTTAATTCTACTGCAGGCTCCTATCATACTTATGTTTAACATGAGCATTTTCTCTAAAAATTTTATGAGCAGCCTCTTGAGGACCTAGTTGTCTGTATCTCCCATGCGTTCCTTTGTCACTTGTTGATTTCACCATTCATTTGTTATTTGATATTTCAAGTTGCCTGATATGTTACATATTTATTGTCTTCCTAAATGATTTGTATAAAATACATGTAGCGAAGGTTATAGTATCTCTCTCCATGTGGTTTTGCTCTGTGAACAACCGTTGGTTGGAAGTTTGACTACATAGTATCATATATGTGGAGAGACAGAGCATGGACTTGTAGGCCTCAAATTCAAGACACTTTTTAAATTACTATTTAAATCAATTAGTGTGGAAAGAATCACAGTGTAGGACCACTGAGTTCTTTGAAAGCAGAAATACACAGGGCATATTGGAAATACAGAATTCTGAGGTATTATGTAGAAATTACTAGGTGAAGATGGGGGTTAGAGGTCTGTGGATAAATGTTTTAAGCAGAAGGAGTGGCATATAGGAGAAAAAACAGGAAAAATAAATGGGATTAGGAATTTGCAAGTAGCTTTAAATGGCTGGATTTGGGAGTGGGAGTGAGGAAGTGATAAGATTTGGTATTGAGATCATAAGTGGTGATCAAATTATATAGACCATTTTTGTAGCTTGCAGAAGAGTTTACATTTTGTTCCAAAGGCTGTAGGGACCCATGAAAAGATGTCAGTAGGAGAATCGCTTGAACAGATTCACACTTGAGGAAGATGCTTTTGAAGTATGAGGGGTGCAGCAAGACCAAAGGTTGGGAGATAAGGTGAAAATCCACTGCAAAAATCCAGAAAGAATGGATGAACGGAGACAGGGATGTAAAGGAGAAGATACAAAATCAGGGCTTTTACGAGGCAGAAGTGGCAGGACTTGGTGAATCCTAAGTTTCTGATGGTTTCATTTATCGATATGGGGAACACCAAAAGGGCAGC